TGCGCGCGCTTCGCGCGCGCCATTTATTTCCTTCTACTTTATCATATAATTAAAAAAATGTACATATAATTATATATTAAAATAAAATAAACAGTGTTAAAGGTTCCTATAAATTAACAAATCAAAATGAGTAGTGAAAGGCAGTAAAGAGCCAACGCAGTTGTAGGGCGTATGTACATATATTCTTAAATCTTTACTACGCATAGTATATAAGATAACGTAGAACATATAATGCATATTTACAAATAACTTCCATATATTATCTTGCATATGTATTAATGTAATAATTTTATTAAGAGCACATACAATAATGCAGAGAGGATTTAAAATTATTAGTGTAATTTCACTACAAATAAAAATAATTATAATTATAATTATTATATTATTTTACATATTAACATATATGTGTACATATGTATACGTAATGTATATATATTATATGTATATGTATATATATGTATATATATGTACATATATGTATATATATGTACATACATCCCACAGGACACAAAATACTAAAAGACGATGAAAAGATGTCTTTTCTAAGTCGACTTTTGGACATGGCGAAAAAGACGTCTTATAGATGTCTTTTCGTCATGTCGAAAAGACGACTAAAATAAGGCGTCTTTTCGTCAACTTTTTTAAGTCTAGAATTTGTACGCCTAAAAATGACTTAAAAAAGACGACGAAAAGACATATGAAGTCAGACTTAATATTGTGCAATTTATTTTAGTATCTACACATTGTTTTTGTAAATCTTTGAATTCAGAACTTTAAAATATTTTAGACTATGCCATATAGTTTAATGGTAAATAACAAATGAGATAACAAATCCGAAGTGATACGTTAACGATATTTGTTTATGTTTATTTCAAGAAAGCTTAATTTCTAATTTCTTTGTAATGATTTGTTTATGTTAAAAAATTCTATACAAAATATGTTTATTTTTGCGTTACTGATTTTAATATGTCTGGTTTTTATGTCTAATTACACTATGTCTTATTATAGATATAATTAAATAATATTAAAATATTTCTTCATATTTTATTCCATGTATAAATAAATACGTGTATATAACACGTATTTCTTTATACATAAAATATGAAGAAATATGAATAAAATATGAAGAAATAAATGTTAGGTTGCGACGCCCGCAATTGCGTATTCGATTACTTTTTAGATTGGAGGATATATGTATGTACACACGTACATATTTAATTGCAATGCCCGCAGTTGTAAACAGAGAGAAGATATAAAGTATATACATCTATCTTCTCTTTGGTTGTAGATTTTATAATATGTACTTTATACAAATGTTATGTATCAAGGACGAGCGGCAATACATGTCCACAAACATATTAGAAATGAGCGATACAGAATATAATAACATTATAAATATCGATATTTTCATAATAAATTTATCGACAGTAATAATGTTTTCTAAAACAAGCCGATGGGTGCTGGGACTGTCATCCTTGGACGACAGAGTCCGCATCGGTTATGTGTTTATATAAAACATTATTTCTGTAGATAAATAGTTATTATTACTATAATATCGATATTTTATTTGTTTTTATAAGTATTTTCAACAATATGTAAACTACATCTAAAATACGTCTTTTGTGCAAGTAATAAATGACTGAGCTACACTGTTATATATATATATATATATATATATATATATTATATATATATATTATAGTTATATATATATATATATATAATGATGCAATCAATTAATTATAGCGCTTTTCTTTTAATATAATACATATTATTATATGTATAAAATTAAATATGTTTAATTGCTTAAACTCTATCAAAATGTATGAATTGATTAATTGTAATATTACTATTATATCCGTGAAACGCAACGACAAAAAAGATACACAATTTTCAGATTTGACCTGTAATAGGTCAGAATTAATTTTTACAAATATATCGCTCATTTCTAATCGATTTTCTACATACACATGCGCGCGCATGCACACGCATTTATAAAGGAAACTGTAATTTACAGATACTTAAATTATAAATATATTGAATAATAGTTTTAAGTAAATAATATTTGACAGTGGCTGCATATTGCATTGTGATAAATGTTTTTTGATATATTTTGAATTAAACTAATACAGGGTCGGCATTATTATTTAATTAATAAATGTATTCAATGTAGACGAGAGAAATAAAAGATGTATTACAGTATTTATAAATAGTGCGTATATATAATAAAGAAATTATAATATAATGTTCATATAAGAGATATAAACAATTTTTTATTATAATAAAATTTTATTTATAAATTTTAAAAATAATGTAATATTTTTTAATATCTATCTACCTATCTATCCTAACCTATTATCCATATAGTACAAAGCAGTTTCAAAAATGACTAAAACTCGACATATTTCTATTCAAATTAAGACGTCTTTTAGTCTAATAATATAGTCGACGAAAAGACAACTAAAAGTCGATTAAATTATGTCTAAGAGACGACTAAAAGATGTCTTAAATAAGTCTTTAAAAACCTAATAAAAAGATGTCTTAAAGACGACCGAAAATATACAGATTTAGTCGTCTTTTAGTCATCTTTTAGTCATCTTTTGGCTTGACAGATTAGTGACTAAATTCGGGTCATGAGCAGACTTTTAGTCGACTTTTCGTCGACTATTGTCTCTAACTGAAAGACGTTTTTGACGAAAATATGTCCAGTTTAGTCGTCTTTTAGACGTCTTTGTGCCCTGTGGGATATAATTACAATATAGTTTATATATTTTATACATATTGTAAATATAATTGTAAATATAAATGTATACAAGTAATATGACCTTTTTGTGATCAAAGTTTTTCATACTTTCTTTTAAAAAAAAGCATTATTTATACATATATTTACATACATTTTTTATTCGACTTTTCTTCTTTCTCTCTTTCTCCTTCTTCTATCCTCTTTGAGATTCTTTTTACTTCTTTCTTAATGCACTACTATGTAACACGAAACAGCAGAGTAATAAATAGGTTATGGATGACGAAGCGCTCGAGCGCTACGCTACTTACCGCGAATATATCGGAACGCACCAGCATCCAATCAGTATCGCAGAAAAGGAGGCTTCAACGTTTCGATATATTCGAGTAATCGACTTAACATACACTTTTTAAGGTAGGAAGATGTAGATTAAAATATTGCAACGATGAGAATACTTAAGTAAATATTTAAATAATTAGAATAGTAGTATAAATAATGTATATTTAATAAAATTGTTTGGTAATTATAATTTATGGACGACCTCACCGATTTCAATGATCATAACATATGTTGTCAAGCTCACTCTTATAAGTAAGTATCAAAAGGTTTTAAGTGTCACTCACTATTTATTAAAAAGTTATTAACGAAAAAATTTTACGAATTATGTGCAATTTTTAGACATTATATTTAGACGTTTTAAAAGTCAAAGTAAAATATACATGCGTGGATACAGTGTGTTCCGCCGGGATCGACCAAACTGCGCACATTTCTGATCGGATACGATGACATTTCACGATCGGACACAGACCCGATCGGACACAGAATCGATCAGACACAGTCCAGATCGGACCCGGACTCGATCGGACACAGACTCGAGTCCTTGTCTGATCGAGACTGTGTTCAATCGGGACTGTGTCTGACTGGGAAATGTCGTCGTGTCCGTTCGGGAATGTGTCTGATAATCGGGATTCACTCGTTCCGCCTCCTCTACGAGGGGACTTCACTTTCAGAAGATATAATCTAACCTAAATCTATTTCTGATTTAAAATAAAATTTTGTTTGAGAACCTTGCTTCGCGTGAAAAGTTGCAAACCTATGTGAACTTCGTTTCAACTTGCAAAGTACATACTTGGAGACAATAGGTTCCGCCTTCCTACGGGGGGCTCTACTTCCGGAAGATATAATCTAATCCAAACCTACTCTGATTTAAACCAAATTTTAATTTTAAATCATAAATAGGTTTGGGTTAGGTTATATCTTTCGAAAGTGAAGCACACTGTGGAGGGAGCGGAACCTACGGTTCGCAATTTTTCACACGTAGCAGGATTTATCTCAAACCAATTTTTAGTTTTTAAATCAGAAATAGGTTTGGGATAGGTTATATCTTCCGAAGGAAAGGCAGAATTGTTTCCAAGCATGCACTTTGCAACACAAAACGTACACGATATGGAAAAATTATATTATATTTATTAAACTTTTGAATAAACAGTGAGCGACATTTAAAACTTTTCACACTTACTCAGGAGAGTGAGCTTGACATATCAACATATGTCAAGAACATTGAAATTGATGTAGTCGTCCGTAAAGTGCATAATTACCAATTATTCTTTATTTAATAATTTTACGAATAATTATTTGCAAATTAACATTAGATATTCTTCCAAAAAGAAATCAAAAAGAAAAGCAAATTTATCGATATATTGAGAAAATACGAAAATAAATGTTACTAAAAAAACAACTCTGTATGTATAAAATTGTTTCAATTCTGTCAATTCAGAAGCTAACTTTCGAATGATTAGAGACATAAACGGTAAAAATCATGTACATGAATATAATAAAATGTATTAATTAAGTCTGAAATAAAAGTAAAATAATTAACAGAACATATGTTTTTAATTGACACACACAAATAATAAATGCAATGTAATTCACAGTAATACTATACATTATCATATTCTTAAAAAATTTATTTTTAGTAAAATTTATTTTCAAAGAACTATTTTTTTAATAGTTTATCTACTCGAAACTTTATTAATTGCAGTGTACATATGTATAATATAGCATATAGTGTTTATTAAGAACGGTTATTTAATCAGTTACGTTATCTCGGTATTATGATATACGAAGTCATGTATATGATTTTGCATTTGAGATAAATCTTGATGATATAGTTTTTGCAATTCATCGTGACTCATTTTTTATTCGCGTATCTATAATAGCGTATACGCTTTATAATTCGACAAAATTTAGAATTGCTAGTTATTATTTCCAATTACATAGTAACAAGTTGGTCCATTGAATTCCGAATGTGTTAGTTGCTGTAACCATCAATTACGTTAGCGAATTCAAGTACGTTATATTCATCGTTTATTTAGATGATAGCTATCACAAAGTTTGCGAATCGCGTAAAATAGAATATTTCAACTATTAAACGAATAATAATATTTTGAAAAATAATTTTGAAATTAATATCTATTCTCTGTCTCGTTAGAAGAGAATGTGTTCAATTTTCATATTTTATCAGATTCTCCCACGGAAATCGTTCACTTGAGAACAAAAAAAGTGTGAATTATTTATAGATAATGACTCCGCATATGATATTGATTGAAAAGATGATACAATTTGTTTCTATTCTACTAATGTACACAATCGCACGATGAACAACATCAGTTTGATGTCAGATACACATTTGTGATTTTAAGATAGAGAAGATTTGAAAATATTACTGATTTTATTACGTTGCGTTAAAATAAACTTGTAACAGTACGCGAGTTACTATTTTTAAAGCATAATATTGAAACACGATTTAATCATAAATTTCATACAGAATGAGTGTTATATGCGTAGTTGATTATCTAAAAATTTTTTTATATATATCGTGTCTGCTCCTGCCCGCTTTATTTTCACTTTGTTAAATACAGTATTCTTTCATTTTCATAATAGAATATATTAAGATAAAGTAATGAAATTTTTCATTTGGTTAATTTTATTTCATTTGGTTAATTTCACAGTCCGGCTATCACTCACCACTCCTTCCTCACTTACCGTTTCGCCGCGCGCCTAGTATAAGGTTACAGTGGGGCGACACTCGTCTTCACGCAGTTTGGCCGATCTTTTTTAATTAATTTTTTATTCATTATTGCGAATATAAATAGTATAGGATCTTCCTTCTTAATTTGATCCGATCTACCTACACACTTCAGAGCTACGAAAAGTTTTGAGACACTCTGTATATGTGTATATATCAAGCGACGCAGTAGCGTCGCGATGCCAAGTATATAAAAAACTGATAAAAAATTGGATCCAAGTATTGAGAGTCACTGTTTTCGACGCGGCGGTACCAAGTAGCTTATCCGGAATTTTACGTTAAAATGACGTTAAATAAACTTTCACTTGAAATATTTCAGAAACTGAGTAGCCGTAATTAAAAATCCAACGGCATTTTTCTGATATAAAGTGAATACAAACTTTCGATTGTGACCAGTTTGAATAAAATCGGCAATCAATCCCGAGAAATGATAATGTCAGAATTGTGACTTTTTCATTTTCCTTCATAATAAAGTTCAGATTCATGAACGTATCTTCGCACGTACACATTCAAAGCGATTTTGTCCCTCAAACTGCGTTCACTCCGCGCATATATGATTATTCGCTTTGGTGTGCAACAATGCTTTAAGAGACAAAATCATTTATGTACCATATGTGTGCATACGTGTGATATGTGTATGTGTGTGTGTATGTATACGTGTGAGAGATTAATTCATCGCATAACAATTTTCAAAAACCTCTCGAGGGTAAAATCTAATATCTCGAAAAGGGGTATCACAAAAAACAGTACTATTAAATAAGAAGACTAATTCTAAGGAGACTAATTTATCGTATTATAACAATATTCAAAAACCACCCGTTGGGAGTGAACTTTAATATCCAGAAAATGAAGTCTTGTAAAAATACGGGACTTACCCTTAGTAAAGATTTATAAAATGCATATATATTTTTTGCAGAAATAATATAAATTTTTACAAACAGGTGGTGATATCTCTCTAAAAACAACCTTATAAAGGTAAAAAAATACATAAAATAACTTTTAACAAATCAAAAAATCTAAAGGAGTGATTAAAAATAAAATATTTAAAAACCGATATGAGATTAATACTATTAGCCAAGTACAATAAATTATGTGATATTAATTCGTAATCGATATTAAATGAGTTAAGATTGCTTTAATTCCTCAAGCATTTTTTATATGATGTATATAAACTAAAAGTTTTACACAAATTCTAAATCGCATAAATGACTTTCAGATCGAAGTAAGATATCATAAAAAATCTAGCTTTTTCCTGTTTTAAACTGTATGATTTAAATACGAAGCATGATAAGTTTTCATATAAGGTTACAGTGGGATGACTCTCGTCGCCGCGCGCTTCTATTCATGCAGATTGGCCGATCTTCTTTAATTAATTTTCTGTTCATTATTGCAAATATCATAAAATAAGACCTTCCTTCTTAAATTGAGAACTACCTTACACCTCGGGACTGTGAAAAGTTTTCAGACACTCTGTATATATATATATATATATATATATACAATATATATATTCTGTGAGGAATAGAATACAGATCGCAAATGAATCGATAAGTTTCGCAACGTTCCTCTGATTACGCTCGTCATCTTTCATATGTTACATTTCTCAATAACTAACGCTCGACCGACACATTAATTTGTCGCCGGGATCAATCTTTTTCACAAGTAATTATAAACATTCGAATATAGAATATTCTTAAATCGGAAACCGTTACATAACGGGTGGCTCGTCAGTATATCATATAATTTAAGTCCCTACAAAATCTATAAGCAATCTATTAATATTGATAAAATGCGATTGAAAAATTAGTTGCCATAAACTTATATTTCATTAAATATGCATTTGGCTTATCAAATTTTTTGCTAAATTTTAAATTTTCTAGAACGTTTTTTTTTAATGATAAAGTATTATTTTTTTTTAGCAAACGTCACTTGAAATAATTGATTGGTAGCTAAAGAACAATGGGATTTTTTGAAATACTATGCTTTATTGCTACTACATTCCTCGCTGTTTATTATTATTATTTTACATCGAACTACGACTTCTGGAAATCACGTGGTATTCGCGGTCCAAATCCAAAACCAGTTTTTGGTAATATTAAAGATTTTAATATTAAAGATTTTGTACTTAATAATAAGTTTATAGGTGATTATTTACTGGAAATATACAATAAGTATAAAGATGAATCCGTGATTGGAATATTCTCTGGAATGACACCCATTCTGATTGTAAAAAATCCAGATTTAATTAAGGATATTTTTATCAAAGATTTTTCTAAGTTCGTCGATAGAGGACTTCCTGTCAGTGAAAAAGTATGTAGATAATTTATATTTTATTATAATATAGTATTATAATATTTGAATTACATGAATGTATTTCTAATTATATAAATATCATAATTTTATATATTATACTTTACTACGATATTTTCTAATAACCATTTAACATTTTCTAATAACCATTATTCAAAAAAAATATTAGTTTTAAATAGTGAGTATCTTCAAATTATTATAATTTAAAAAAAATGATAAATTTATTTGAATATAATTACGTTTTTTATTATATCGTAGCATGACCCACTGTCACAACATCTTGTTGGTTTAGAGCCTAAAAAATGGCGACCTTTAAGAACATGTTTATCGCCCATTTTTACATCTAGTAAACTAAAAGAGATGTTCTTATTAATAACGGAATGCGCTGATCATCTTGAACAATATATAGAAAAATTAGTGAGCAAAAATGAACCTATAGAATGTCGCGAGGTAGCGGCAAAATATTTGACCGATGTAATCGGTACTTGCGCATTCGGCATCGAAATGAATGCTCTATCAGATGAAAACAGTGAATTTCGTAGGATTGGAAAAATGTTCTTCACGCCAACCTGGAAAAGTAATTTACGGTTGAGTATAAGACGATACATGCCACAACTTTTCAAAATATTCAGTTATATGATACCACGAACGGAGGTTACCCAATTTTTCACACGCCTTGTCATGGATACAATAAATTATAGAGAAACCAATAATATTATTAGACATGATTTCATTGATATTCTGCGCGAAATGAAAAAGAATCCAGATAAATTGGGCGATATCGGTGAGTGACGGTTATTTAGTATTGTGAAAATTTTATGTGATGCAAGAACTTTTTAAACAAAAGTATTAGTTTTTGCAAATATATAAATTTGTAAACTCACTATATATTAATTGTTAAATAATAAATATCTTTCTCATAATTGTTAATATTCGATGAAAGTTAAAACTAATAGTAAAAAAAAATATATTACATTTCAGAGATGACCGATAGCTTAATAACTTCTCAAGTGTATGTATTTTTCGTTGCCGGTTTTGAAACTTCATCGTGGGCCATGAGCCATGCACTTTATGAATTAGCATTAAATCAACAAATACAAGACATGCTACGTGAGGAAATTCAAGAGTATACTAAGCATGGTAACAATTTAACATATGAGAAAATTAAAAAAATGAATTATTTGGATAAAGTTTTCAAAGGTACGTCATCCAAAAAAAAAATTAGTAATTAAACATAAAAAGGGTTCACTTTCGCACAAATATTATTGACGTATGATGTGAAGATGTTATCCTCGATTAATATTCTGAAGGTTTTAGCCAGCGGTCGTTCTTTATTCAAAAGTTATTAACAATTAAATGTGAGAAATATTGACATAAAGATTCTACTTTATTTGTTCATCGGTTTTCATTCATTTTTAAATATGATGAGGGAGATTTTCCCGACTAATTTCACATATATAAAGGTCGGACTCAAATAGATTTGGCGATATATGCTGAAAAAGGATAAACATAAATATAAAAATAGCGTAAACCTTTTTGGAAAACCTACCTATATGAAATAAAGATTGAATTGAGTAAGAATATCCTATTTCTACGTATTTTTACCTCCTGAACACGAATATGAAATTTAAAAATAGAGGTTGAACTCGCAACTCCATAAAAAACTCATAAAATCGTAAATTAAATGATAAATAAAAAAAGGTAAACAATTTAAATTTATATAGAATATATTACAATTTAATACAATTAAAAAATATCACAAATGTATGTGTAAAAATTTTAAGCAAAAAATATAGCCGCTGAAAAACTGTACAAAAAAGGTTCTATGCATTTTTTTCATAAACCTACTATTTTAGATGTTATAAATAAATAAATTTAAATTCTATTAAATGTATTTAAAATTATTAATTTTTCGTATAACAGCTAGAATAGTAGGTTTATGAAAAAAATGCATATATCCTTTTTTCTAGAGTTTTACAGCAGCTTTATTTTTTGCTTATTTGTTTTCTCAAATCAATATTTTCGGAGATAAAAAGCATTAAAATTGTGAAATTCTTTAGTTAATAACTCTTTAATAAATAACAAACGCCGGCTGAAACCTTTAGAATATTAATTAGAGATATGACCCTGACAACATATGTTAATGACATATTTGGGCGAAGGTGGGACCTTTTTATGCATAATTATCAAAAATTTAATAAAAGAAAAATATCTTATTCATTTTCAGTGCCACTATAATATCAATAGCGCGAGAAAAAAAGTTTATATCTAATTACATATAATTATTGTTCGCGATCGCACCTTTGATTTGCGATTTTGTTTTGCCGGTACACACCCGAGTGGGTATCGCGAGCTTGACGTATACGTGATTTCGCGAGGTGTGAGTGATAGGGTTGAGTAAGATACACTTTGCTTCTTTTGATGTATCACAGTAATGTTGAGAGAATTACTGTCCGTTTTATTGAACTATAACAAGATAAATTTACACTGTTCATGAACGTTCGTGGGACGCTCTTTCTAATAGTTTGAGCGCATTGGACGCTATACAAGATTATGCGAGATCGCACGATACAATTGCTCACTTTAATTAGCGACACAGCGTTTGATCAGCTGTCCGTTAGATTGAGCGAGAGTATACAATTACACGGTTCGCGCGAGAGCGAGCGAGACAGCGCTCTATCAGATGTCCGCGAGATTGAGCGAGACCGCACTTTTTACGGTTGCACGCGCGAGATTGAGAGAGACAGCGCTCTATCGGCCGTTCGCGAGATCGAGCGAGACCGCACTACTCACGGTTGAACGCACGAAATTGAGAGAGACAGCGCTCTAATGGCCGTCTGCGAGAGCGAGCGAGACCGCACTATTCACGGCTGTACGCACGAGATTGAGAGAGAGAGCTTTCTAACAGCTGTTTGCTAGATTCAGCGAGAGCGCACTATTTACGGTTCGCGTGAGAGCGAGCAAGACGGCGTTATTTCAGGAGCACACGAATGAGCGGAGGCTCAATGGGAAAGAAGCTCTACCTCTCACTTAGAGTGGAGGCGCTCCGATGAATCCCGGCACTCGCGCTCAGAATGTTCACGTGTGATACGGAATCGATTGGCTGAACTGAGTTCGAAACTGATTCTCCGCGATACTAGATACAATGACTCGTCAATTTATGTACTCGCGATTTTAACGTCTCACTTCCAAGGCACTTAGGAAATTCTCGATTTTCCACTTCCGATTCGCTCTCGATTACTAAGACTTGAACTTTCAATGAACAAAGACTCTCACAAGGATTCCGCAATGATTCTGATAAGATCTCAGTCATGACTCAGCAATGACTCCGCAATTATTTAACGGGAGAGAGCCTTTTTCCCGATAATAAGGAATCGATTGCGCATCGGATGATCCGATTTGAGCCTATTTCGGCACGTCAATCGCGTGATGTTTCGAGTTTCTGATTGGCCAAGATCATGTATTCTTACGCGATCACGTGGATCCTGGCTGATTTCGAAAAACAGGACGGCATTACATTTCGGATCGAGTTCGATTGCGCACAAATGGATGGCGCCAGTATGACCGGGGGTGATATTTTAATTCTAATTTCAAGGCGAATCCTGAACATACCGGGGGTGATATTTTAATTCTAATTTCAAGGCGAATCCTGAACATACCGCCCGCCTCGAAATGATAATTTCGAAATAATAGCACTTTCTTATGCCTCCCGCCGTGACGGGATAATTTCGCAATCGAGGGCGATTGAGAGTTATAATTCGTCGTGGTTTTACATATTTGCATGTGTACATATTTACAGATTTGTATGTTTACATATCTACATGTTTACATATCTACATATATACATTTTTGCGGACTCATGTTCGCAATTCCGGGAATTTTAACTGTCGCTAGGAGAGTTATTTGCCGGATATTCGATATCGATAGGCAAAATGCATAATTTAACTATCGGTCTTTTGTACTCGGAATGTGCACTTTGACTACGCGAACGTATCCGTCGGATCCGGGATGGCATTGCGTAATCCGGCCTTGCATGGCGGAAGTAAGGGGTTGCGGATTAAGACCATTGTACCATTTTTCACGGAAGGTTGCACTTGCCTCCATTTTACTCGTTGCTGCAAAGTATTGACGTAATCACTCTGCCAAATTTTCCAAAACCGCTCCGTAAGTTGACAAATTAATGCCAGCGAGAAAGTCGATTTTCATTAACGGATAAAACGACGGTTCAGGATTCGTGATTGATGAACCGATTAAAAAATGACCCGGTCAGGGGGTTGTAGTCATCGAGAGTATCTGTGAGTGAACCGATAGGTCGAGAATTGAGGCAGGCCTCAATTGATAGCTTGATTCCCAGCGCTGCATCGTTTGTGAAGGAATGGCATCATACCAGTTTAATTTTAATTTTCACAACTGTTGCATGAAGACTTTAGCATTGATGGTAACGGGGGTGACCCATCCTAATGGATCGAATAATTTGGCAATCGTTGACAATATCTTTCTCTTTGCGTTAGGAAGTGCTGATGGAAATAACACTCGAAATTGAAACGCGTCGCAGGCGGGATTCCATGACAATCCAAGAACGCTAAAATTTTCCTCGATCGTTAACAATCTATTTCCTGCGAGTCCATGACATTCTTCCGGAATGTCGGATAGAAGAGCGAAGCTGTTGCTGGTCCATTTATGTAAGTTAAATCCGCCGCGAGATAATAAAGAACAAAGTTGTTCACGCGATTGACGTAGCAATGGGATGTCGTCGGCTCCGAACAAAACGTCATCCACATAAATGTTCTCTTGGAGAATCGGAATTGGAGGGGAAACGCGGCCCCTTCGTCCGTTAATAATTACTTCAGCACTCTCAGAGCAAGGAACGGAGCTGAAGCGGTTCCGTATGTGACAGTTGACAATTGATAATCCTGGATGGCGGATTGATTCACATTATACCAGACGATAAGCTGATAATCGCGATCATCGATCAAGATTTGTCGATACATCTTGGCAATATTCGCTGTAAACGTACTTATGTTGTTGCCATCTCAATAAAGTCGAGATTATTTCTGTTTGCAATTTAGGCCCGATCTCTAGATGCGAATTTAATGACTTCCCATTCGAAGTGAGACTGGAGGCGTTAAATACTACACGCAGTCTTGTGGTCGCGCTAGTTGCGCGAATTACGGGATGATGCGGAAGGTAAACTATTTGGGAATGAGGTGCGACTGGGAGTTACACCTTTTGCATGTGGTTTAGCTGTTTATATTTATCGAGAAAGGCGGAGTATTCCGACTTGATGTCGGAATTCTTGTCGAGACGTTTTAACGCTATTAATCGCTGTATAGCTATCGATCGAGATTCTACGATTTCAATCGGAGGCATCGTTTTAAGAGGAAAACGAACGATGTAACGCCCGTCGGAGGTTCGTGAATGAGTATTACTGAAATGATTTTCACAATGTTCCTCGGCAGGAGACAGAATTTTCGGTCGTGGGATTTCTTCAATCTCCCAGAAACGACGCAAGTCATGCTCGAGGGAACAGTGATAAACGTTAACTGTATGAGCAGAAGCATTTTGAGTTTGAGCTGATCCGGAAAGAATCCATCCAAAGTGAGATCGTTGGGCGATAGGTTGCCCGATTGGTCCTTTCCGGATTCCATTCTGAATGACGTGACAATAAATGTCAGCGCCAATTATGACATCAATGGGACTTGATCCTGTGGGATCGTCGTCCGCTAACGTGAGAGAGTTTAAGTGTCGCCAGTCAGCTACTGATGCTGACAATCGCAGGGCGTATTTAGTTAGCGCCTTGAGAACGTAAGCGACCGTTGTGAAAAGTGGCTTAGTCTTTCTGCGGGGTACGAGTTCAATGATGGCGGAGTATCGACATGTGTCAGCATCGATACCTCCTACCGCGGAGATTTGAGCGAAAATTCGCTTTCGATTTAAACACAATATTCTTGCTAATATTTCTGAAATAAATGTGACTTCAGACCCTTGATCAATCAGAGTGCGAGCTTCACAGACACGACCGTCGAGATAACGGACCGTTACTTTCGCCGTGGCCAGTAGGACGGATGAGATCGGAGCACTCGAACATACGACGGACATTACGACGGCCTTTGACGTCTCGGGAGCATCGACGGTATCGTTTACGCTTAACGCATTAGGTTTAGTCGCGCTTGTATCGATAGAAGAGGCCGAATCAATGTGCAAGAGAGAGTGATGCTTCTTTTGACAAGTGCGACATATATATTTACTTTTGCATTCTTGCGCGGAATGCTTTATGCCAAGATAGTTGAAACATCGGTTTGAATTTTTAACTAATTCGTGTCACTGATTCGGACTCTTATTTAAGAGTTGCCGACACTTACTAATAGAATGCGGTTTTTTACAGAGGGTACATTGACCGGGAGACTGATTAGAAAGTGTCGCATTATTCGCTTTTATGGATTGATGACCTTTATTTGAGGCGGAAGGCGACAATTCTTTAAGTGCGAGCGCGCGCGACGAAATAAAGTTTATTAAATCTTCATAATTCGGTGGCGTCGATTCCGATTCGTTTTGAGTTTCCAGGCGCGATGAGTGGCGGGGTCAAACTTGAGCGATACAAAGTAAACGAGAATATCATTAAGGATATCATCTTGTGTTCGGTTTAAATGTTTTAAGGCTGAGAGTGCTTTATCGGCTTTGTCTCGTAAAGCGTGCAATTCTACGGCAGACTCCCGTTTGACGGGGGGTAAATTATATAATTCCGCCACATGAATCTCAATGAGCTTCCGTTTATTTTCGAAACGAGAAGTTAACGCTTTCCAAGCGACGGCGAAATTATCAGCGGTTACAGGTGTACCGGCTACAACATCGCGAGCTCTATCGGTCAAGCTTGATACTAAAAAAGGCATGCGAGCAAAATCGGATAGTTCATGATTTTTAATAATTAACGCTGTGAATCTATCGCGTAAATTCTCCTACTCGTCCGCTTTACTGGAGAACGGAGGTAATTTGATCGATAGCAAATGCTTTAACGATAGCGCGGATTCCGATTGTATGTGAGATACAGATCGATCGCTTGATTGGAGTGGACTTACGCACGGTTCCAGCTCCTCCAAACACTCCGACATGAAATCCAGCGCAGTCTGGTAGATCTTTCCGTAGTGATCCAGCTGTTCCTCTCGAAAGTAGACGAGCGATTCGCGCTTTGACGCTAATGTTACAGCAACAGGCTGTGCCCTTCAAAACACTTACTCCAGATTTCCTTCAGGAACGTCATTCGAGATTGTATCTTGGCTGGAGTGATATTATTCCGACCAATCTTCTTAAAATTGTCCAATGATTCAGCTACGTGGCGCAGAATTGAGAGCTGGTTTTCCAGAAACTCATTCATGGTTATTGATATACACAACAATCACACTTTTCAAATTCACTCACAGTATTGTTATCAGTTGTTTTCGACTTCTCGCGATCCGGCTCGAAAGACCAAAATGTTCGAGAGCGCACCTTTGAATTGCTTTTTTGTTTTGCCGGTACACATCCGAGTGGGTATCGCGAGCTTGACGTATACGTGATTTCGCGAGGTATGAGTGATAGGGTTGAGTAAGATATACTTTGCTTCTTTTGATGTGTAATGTTCACGAGAGAATTACTGTCCGTTTTATTGCACTATAACAAGATAAACTTACAATGTTGATGAACGTTCGCGGGACGCGAGACGCTTTTTCTAATAGTTTGAGCGCGTTAGACGCTATACAAGATTATGCGAGATCGCACGATACAATTGTTCACTTTAATTAGCGACACAGCGTTTGATCAGCTGTTCGGTAGATTGAGCGAGAGTGTACAATTACACGATTCGCGTGAGAGCGAGCGAGACAGCGCTCTAACGGCTGTCTGCGAGATTAAGCGAGACCGCACTACTCACGGTTGCACGCACGAAATTGAGAGAGACAGTGCTTTAACGGCTGTCTGCGAGAGCGAGCGAGACCGCACTATTCACGGCTGCACGCACGAGATTGAGAGAGACAGCGCTCTAAAGGCTGTCTGCTAGATTGAGCGAGACCGCACTATTCACGGTTCGCGTGAGAGCAAGCAAGACCGCACTATTACACGGTTCGCGTGAGATCGAGCGAAACGGCGCTCTATCGGCCGTCCGTGAGATTGAGCGAGACCGCACTATGACACGGTTCGCGTGAGAGCGAGCGAGACGGCGTTATTTCACGAGCACACAAATGAGCGTGAATCGATTATTAAATATTCTGGTAGCTTACATCGAGAGCATTCCAAAACACTATAATTAAGTTAGTTTTCATTAAGTACTTTTCGAATTATGAGACTTGAAATCATTTCTTAATTTTACATAAACCGTAAAATACTCGTATCTTGTAAAATATTCATTTTTCGATTATCTTATCTTAATACTTTTATGTGCGAAATAAGGAGAGTAATCAATTGGTGTAAAGAAAAAACATAGTTGTTTTAAAAAAAAATATGTAATTAGCTATTCACAATTACATATTTTTGTAAAACAACTATGTGTTTTCTTTACAACAATTGATTCCTCTCATTATTTTGTATATAAAAGTATTAAGGTAAAATAATCGAAAAATGAATATGTTACTAGATATTTTATGGTTTATGCAAAATTAAGAAATAATTTCAATCTTTATAACTCGAAAAGTACTCAATGAAGAAATACTTTATTATAGTGTTTTGGAATGCTCTCGAGATAAGCTACACGAATATGTAATAAAAAGTGAGGGTTCCGTTTAAGAAATTAAATGTGACCTTTACGTCACTTTCAAATGACTCTTCAATGTCAAATCATTGCCACTATATGATGGCCCCCTTCAAGCCATATAACTTTTGTCTGAAACATTTCTTTCTAAAGTGCATAGTTTATGAAACATTAGATCGGTTCGGGTCTTTTGGGACACCCTGTATGTACATATATACACTCTTTAATGTCAAACTAATGACACCATCTTATGTCCTCCTTCAAGCCATATAACTTTTGTATTAAACATTTTAAAAAAATGCTTATTTTTCGAAATATTAAGAAGTTTCCAGACTTTTTCCTAACCCTATATATACATATATTGAGTAGAAACATTTTGAGTACATTTAATTATAATTTATATTTGACAAATAACTTTTCAAATAATTCTTTCTTACATTATTCTTAATATATGCAGAGACTGTACGAAAATATCCAGTAGCGACACATCTTTCAAGAAAATCGATGTCAAGTTATACTTTTAATAATACTTCATTTAATATACCAAAAGATCAAATGATATGGATTCCGATGTTCGCGATTCATCGAGATCCGGATATTTATCCGAAGCCAGATGTTTTTGATCCAGAAAGATTTAATGATGAAGCAGTACAAGCCAGACATCCGATGCATTATTTACCTTTTGGTCATGGACCGAGGAATTGCATTGGTAAAATGAAACACGCGTAGATTTAAATACATTTAATTCAACTTCTGCTTGTTTTAATTTATATGTAACAATATTTTAATCGAGAAACTTTTCTTATAATAATAATTTTTTATTTTCAGGTTCTCGTTTTGCCATTTATCAAATAAAGATTGGTCTTGTAAGGATACTACAAAATTATAAAGTTGAGGTCTGCGATAAAACGCAAATACCCTACATAATTAATCCCAAAGCAACTGTGTTAGCATCAAAGCATGGAATACATTTGAGGATAACTAAAATTAATCAAGTTTCAGTAATCAATCATCTTAGTTTAAGGGTCGGCTAAGGCAAGATAATGATGAAGAAACAAGGATAATAATAGTTATTATCTAATCATCGTATTCAATGATGTATATGTCATATACATCACATATAATGTTATGTACGTCATTAATGTCGCATTCGTATACTAAATATCACATTATGGAATTATCTAAAATTCTAAGATATGTGTATAAATATATTAAAATAAATAAATTAAAATAAAAAGAAATAAAAAATTAATATTTATATATGTATATTATTAATTATATGTATAATATTAATTTGATTAATTCCTTGGTTATAGAATATACACACACATAAATATATACATATATATATATATGTATATATGTGTATATATATATATATATATATATATATATATATAATGTAATTTATTAAATAAAATATATATTATACAAACTTTCATTGTTAGGCTTATTGTTTAAAAAAAATATTACTATTTATAAATATTACTATTTATAATATTAATATTTGACTTATTGTAAAAAAAAATTTAAAAAGGTTAATAAATATTAAATGTAAAAAATTGATTTTTTCCATTTTCCCCTCCTCTTAAGCATCCTCCCCTGTCCTTCCCGCGATCCCATCCCCTCCATTCTCTTGATAATGGCTGTCGTGGGACTGCTGGCAGTGAAGGAAATTGCTGGGATCGCAATGGTGGCGGCGGCGGCGGTTGCTGGGGTGGCAGTGTTGGCGGCGGTTACTGCTGAGGTGGCAGTAGTGGTTACTGGTATGACAGTGGTGGCGGCTGTGGCTGCTGAGGTAGCAGTAGTAGTGGCGGCAACTGCTGGAGTGGTAGCGGTGGCTGGGGTTGTAAATATCCTAATACTAGTTGCTGCTGCTGCTGTTGCTGCTACTGCTGCCGCTCCTGCTGGCGCCGCTCGCGACGATGTTAGCGATAATTATATCGCTAACATCGTCGCGAGCGGCGCCATCGTTCCTTGGAAAAGTAATAAAATAAAGTAAATTAATTCTTTTTAATTATATAAATTTATTACGGAAAACATTTTGCTTATATTTTATTTTTCTCTGTCTCTTCCTTATGTAGTTTATAATATAATTTAAATATTATTGAAAAAAGCATTTTGCATAATTTTTTTATGTCATTTATAAATTGTGTTCATACTAATATTTTTTATTCCAATAAATAAAAATATAGATTTTTTATATTTTTATCGGAATCAAAAGATATTATCAATATAAGCATAATGTTTATAATTAAATATTATAAATTACATAGAATGTTTTTTCCATAATAATTAAAGTTATGAAAGAATAAAAAAAAAGGTAATGTATTTGCCCTATTAAAATATACTTATATTTCGTGATTGTTGTGTTTACATTACAGGCACAACAATTACAGGTAGACGCCAGCCGGGTGTACAAGTTCATTTTTATTCATTTCATAAGAAGGCGGTAATGCCGGCGACAGAAACATTGTAAATAAAAATATATTTCATAAGATATATGTGATAATTATATATGCATATGTAATTCCGTATATGTTGAAAAATATAAGAGGTTATAAGACAAGTTACATGCAAGAAAATTCTATTAAAATCTTGTACTATATTCATTTTATTGTATTCTACTACAATATTTTAATAATTATATTATCTCATGCACATGTATTCATTTACATATTAGTGTGTACATATAAATGAAGAGAATAATTACTCCATACAGAATTACTATCATACTAGTAACCTTCGTGATCCGCCATCATTACAGCGTGTACATACTATCGAGATCGAGAGCCGGAGTTCGGTATTCTATCTCTTTAAGATCCCCTTGAACGTATATGCTACGGCAAAATCATATTATATTCATTAAATTTTTTAATAAATAGTGAGCGACACTTAAAACCTTTTGATACTTACTCAGGAGAATGAGCTTGACAACATATATCAAGATCATTGAAATCGATAAAGTCGTCCGTAAGGTGCATAATTACCAATTATTCTTTATTTAATAAATTTAAGAATAATTTTTTGCAAATTAACATTAGATATTTTTCTAAAGAAAAGCAAACTTATCGATATATTGAGAAAATACGAAAATAAATGTTAACTAGAAAACAACTATGTATAAAATTGTCCTAGTAGTAACACACTTTATTGCAGCAATATTGGCTAACAATATTTCCCATGTTGGTACAATATTGCAAAGTAGACGCGATTTCATTTTGAGCCAATATTGAATTGTAATATTGAACGAATATATTATTTTTATTTTAACTAAGATTGGCTAATTATACAAACCCAAATATTTTTACAATTTTACATTTTTTAATTTATGGAGCTCTGAAGCTCCTCGCAAAAGCTAGAGGAGGCTATAATAGTCCATAGTTTGCGGCTATAATAGTCCATAGTTTTTGACTGATAAGTCGTGATCAAAGCTGCCAGATCTCCGCCACAAGCAACATGCAACACCTTGTGGAGGGGATAACGGGGATGTGAGCGTAACGTACGTGTGAGCTCCGAACTCACACGTACGTTACGCTCACATCCCCGTTATCCCCTCCACAAGGTGTTGCATGTTGCTTGCGGCGGAGATCTGGCAGCTTTGGTCGTGACTCGTGTGTCGCGATCTTAATATACTGCTTTAGATGGAATCCCACTCTCGAGTTAGGTGTTTTCCTATTCGCCATCTAGTGGCGACGCGCGAAGTTCACATATAAGGTATGAACGTGCAATATTGGCACACATTTACATTTACATCATAACCAATATTGGTATTATAATGGATGCAACCATATTGACAAACACATTTATATTTATATCGTAGCCAATATTGGTCATCATGAGCACTGCAATATTAGCAGAACACTTGCATTTTGTTAACAATCAATATTAGTTTTATATTGAGAAATATTGGCCATGACATTTCCAATATAACCAATATTGAGCCAAGATATACCAATATTTTGCCAATGTTTTGTGCTACTAGGTGTTTCAGTCCTGCCAATTCAGAAGCCAACTTTCGAATGATTAAAGACATAACAAAACTCATGCACATGTATATAATAAAATGTATTAATTAAGTCTGAAATGAAAGTAAAATAATTAACAGAACATATGTTTTTAATTGACACACACAAATAATGGATGTAATTCACAGTAATACTATATATTATCATATTCTTAAAAAATTTATTTTTATTAAAATTTATTTTTAAAGAACTATTTCTTTAATAGTTTATCTACTCGAAACGTTATAATCTGGTATAATCTCGTTAATGTAGAATCTAGTTAAAAAGTTAATAATTAGTTTAATATATCTGACAATGTATAGTACAATGTATTTTATATTTCATGTCTTACACAGACAATTAATTATAATCAGCGAAAAATAATTAACATTTATCTTACGAGTTAATTTTATTAATAGCAGTATACATATGTATAATAGCATATAGCATATAGTGTTTATTAAGAATGGTTATTTAATCAGTTACGTTATCTTGATATTATGATATACGAAATCATGTATTTGATTTTGCATTTGAGATAAATCTTGATGATATAGTTTTTGCAATTCATCGTGACTCATCTTTTTATTCGCGTATCTGTAATAGCGTATACGCTTTATAATTCGACAAAATTTAGAATTGCCAGTTATTATTTCCAATCACATAGTAATAAGTTGGTCCATTGAATTCCGAATGTGTTAGTTGCTGTAACCATCAATTACGTTAGTGAATTTAAGTACGTTATATTCATCGTTTATTTAGATGATAGCTATCACAAGGTTTGCGAATCGCGTAAAATAGAATATTTCAACTATTAAACAAATAATAATATTTTGAAAAATAATTTTAAAATTAATATCTATTCTCTGTCTCGTTAGAACAGAATGTGTTCAATTTTCATATTTTATCAGATTCTCCCACGGAAATCGTTCACTTGAGAACAAAAAAAGTGTGAATTATTTATAGATAATGACTCCGCATATGATATTGATTGAAAAGATGATACAATTTGTTTCTATTCTACTAATGTACACAATCGCACGATGAACAACGTCAATTTGATGTCAGATACACATTTGTGATTTTAAGATAGAGAAGATTTGAAAATATTACTGATTTTATTACGTTGCGTTAATATAAACTTGTAACAGCACGCGAGTTACTATTTTTAAAGCATAATATTGAAACACGATTTAATCATAAATTTCATACAGAATGAGTGTTATATGCGTAGTTGATTATCTGAAAATTTTTTTATATATATCGTGTCTGCTACTGCCCGCTTTATTTTCACTTTGTTAAATACAGTATTCTTTCATTTTCATAATAGAATATATTAAGATAAAGTAATGAAATTTTTCATTTGGTTAATTTTATTTCATTTGGTTAATTTCACAGTCCGGCTATCACTCACCACTCCTTCCTCACTTACCGTTTCGCCGCGCGCCTAATATAAGGTTACAGTGGAGCGACACTCGTCTATTCACGCAGTTTGGCCGATCTTTTTTAATTAATTTTTTATTCATTATTGCGAATATAAATAGTATAGGATCATCCTTCTTAATTTGATCCGATCTACCTACACACTTCAGAGCTACGAAAAGTTTTGAGACACCCTGTATATGTGTATATATCAAGCGACGCAGTAGCGTCGCGATGCCAAGTATATGTATAAAAAACTGATAAAAAATTGGATCCAAGTATTGAGAGTCACTGTTCTCGACGCGGCGGTACCAAGTAGCTTATCCGGAATTTTACGTTAAAATGATGTTAAATAAACTTTCACTTGAAATATTTCAGAAACTGAGTAGCCGTAATTAAAAATCTAACGGCATTTTTCTGATATAAAGTGAATACAAACTTTCGATTGTGACCAGTTTGAATAAAATCGGCAATCAATCCCGAGAAATGATAATCGCATGTCAGAATTGTGACTTTTTCATTTTCCTTCATAATAAAGTTCAGATTCATGAACGTATCTTCGCACGTACACATTCAAAGCGATTTTGTCCCTCAAACTGCGTTCACTCCGCGCATATATGATTATTCGCTTTGGTGTGCAAAAATGCTTTAAGAGACAAAATCATTTATGTACCATATGTGTGCATACGTGTGATATGTGTATGTGTGTGTGTATGTATATGTGTGAGAGATTAATTCATCG